TTATTGAAAAAGTCAACTCCTGGGCTCGCTCGGTCCAAACCCAAAATTTAGACCAAAACCCGATTACCCATTCACCCCCGAGACAAGTTATATAATTTATTTTGGAATCCGATCTCAATTTGAGGTATAAATCCCCATTTAACAAAAATGCCTAATTCTACCCAAAACCCCCAATTTTCACCATGAAAACACAAGATTTTTGGTTCAAATCTTAGGAAATATAGTGAAAGATTGAAAGAAACTAGTTTAGAATCACTTACCAATGATATGGGGAAGAAAGGTCCTTTGAAAAATTGCCTCAAGGGTTTCTTGTTTGAAAATTTGAGAGAATGAACCAAAATCCCATCTAAATCCCATTTTGATCAGTTGCAGATGTCGCATTTGCGACCTAGGGTTCGTAAATGCGAACCCCGCAAATGCGAAGACCTTCACATCTCTACTTTCATCGCATTAGCGTTGAATTGTTCGCAAATGCGAACTCTGACCTTTCGCAAATGCGACCACCTGATCGCAATTGCGATCCTGTACCTCCTGACCCACTTCGCAAATGCGAACATAAGGTGGCCCAGCTACTCTTCGCAAATGCGAACCCATCAGAGGTCGCAAATGCGATGCCTGATCTCGCATGCGAGATCAGAGGCCTGCACCAGAACGGAAACACCAGCTGAGTTTTTCTAAGTCCAAACCACTCTGTAGCCTATCCGAAACTCACGAGCCCTCGGGGCTCTAAACCAACGATGCACACAAGTCTAAAAATATAATATGAACTTGCTCGCATGATCAAATCACCAAAATAACACCTAGAACTACGAATTGAACACCAAATCAAATGAAATTTTCAAGAAAATTTTGAAACTTCTATTTTCACAATCGGACGTCCGAATCACGTCAAACCAACTCCGTTTCCCACCAAATTTGACAGACAAGTCATAAATATAGTATTGGACCTATACCAAGTTCCGAAACTAAAATACGGACCCGATATCCAAAAAGTCAGACATTGGTCAAATATTTCAAAGTCATTAAGCCTTTAACTTTTAAATTTCAATAAAGTGCGATAACTCAAATTAGGGACTTTCGAATTCGATTCCGGGCATACACTCAAGTCCCAAATCACGATACGGACACACAGGGACCGTCAAAATATGAATCCGGGTCCGTTTGCTCAAAACATTGACCGAAGTCAACTCAAATGGATTTTAAGGCAAATATTTCATATTTTCTCAGTTTTTAACATAAAAACTTTTCGGAAAAATACCTGGTCTGCGAACACAAATCAAGGGAGGCTAAAATGAGGTATTTAAGGCTTCAAAGTACAGAATTAGGTTCTAAAATATAAGATGACCTATCGGGTCATCACAAAAAGTTAGTACCTTGTAAGAACCTTCAGCAGCTACCTTGAGGACTTGGTTCTTAGCACACGTTTAGCAGCTACCTTGAGGACCTGGGCACACGTTCACTGGACACACTTTGTTTTTAAAAAAATTCTATTTTCATCCATTAAATAATATTTAAATTTAATTACTTGAAAAGTCTGTTTTAAATTGTCAAGTTGCATATAGTTAGTTACTAAGATATGATTATGAGTTATTAAATGGTAAGATGAATAAAAATTTTCAATTGGAAGGGATATTCCTAAAGGGCCCAATGAATTCCTAATTGGAATTAGGGGATCTTTTTTAATTGATTCTTTTATCACACTAATATATTTTACATCCTTGAATGGCCCCATTCGAGAACAATCGGCTGCTGACAAAATTATCAACGATTGACATTCCTTATTTCTATTTAACAACTTATGAATAGTTCCTTGAGATTGGTTAAGAGATTATTGAATTTTTGCCTTGGAATAAGAATAAATGGAATAAAATGGGTTGGTATTGGTACAATCTGATCCATTATCAGAGAGGAACACCTGACGGATCATTCCTTTTTACGATATACGAATTAGGGGATTTCACTAAGTTGATTCTTAGGAAATGTTGAATCAAACCATTTGTCCTTATTTCAACAAAAGAAGCACGTGCTTCTTTGCAAGAAGAACTTTTTTTGTCTTGGTTCCAATAAGCTTCTGGTCTAGTAGGTCCGTAAAATTCACTAGGATAAGTGGTATTATTGAACCAGATTAAACAACAAGCAATGAAACCAAAGACGGATAAAGCCCCTAAACTATAAGATAAGTAAGCCTCTCCAGACTATACAAGTGCGCGTCAAGCCCATGCAAAAGGTTTGGTTAAGATATGCCAGATTCCACCAAGTACACAAATGGAACCTAACCATACATGTCCTCCGATTATATCTTCTAAATCGTCCACACTAACAATCCATCCTTCCCCTCCAAAAGGGGATTTTAGTAAATAACCAAATATGATACTCGGGCTAAGGGTCAAGTTGGTAATTNCCATCCACATCAAAACTCCAATTCTCAATAAATTTTCCTTTTTTTATGATGACAAACTTTGTGCTCATGAACCAGGTAATGACATTTATAAATACTAACATTACATCACAATCGATAACAACAATAGAATGTGAACAACACAACACAAACACATTTGAACATACATCTTCCCATCATAGAACAAGTACATCAATCACCCTCCTCTGTCTTTCTCTTTTGGCATCATCGAAAAAAAAATACAATAAGCTGTTAGACAGTTGAAGCAATAGTAAATGCAAGATTCACGGCCATTGAAGCTACAACACAAGCATAGGAAACATCAAGACAAATGAACTATGCCGATGATATAAACTATGTGAGAATACTACTAAACAATTAGGTTTTAGCGACGGATAAATTTTATAGATAAACAGAAAAATTCGTCTCTAATCTCATTTAACAACGGATTATCAAGAAATTCTGCTAGCTACGAGCGTTTTGGCGATAAATTAGTGATGACGTTCGTAGTTAATTTCAATTTCTTTTGTAGTGAAAGTAGGTAAAAAATATAAGAGACTTCATTAAGTAGTGCCAAATTAAGCCCAAGGCCTTGAACTAAAACATTAAAAACAAAATAAACTAAAGCATCCTGCAAGAAACTCAGATCTAGACAAGAAGGACAAAAGAACAAGGCACTACTGAGCTAACAAAACCGACGAGAGACAAGGGGTAAAGGACCAGGATCAAGGGTGAGAAGAGGAGGGGGTCAAGGCTTTCACAATAGTGGCAATCTGTTGAGCATGAGCCTCCCTATATCTTCTGAGCTCCTCTCTAAGCTACCTGGTTTCCTTTCCCAGCTCATTATTGTCCTCCATGAGTTTAGCATTTTCTTTTAAAGCCAACTCCAACCTTTTAGAGAGTTCACCAGCGTTGCTGCTTCCAGGCAAAATAGCAGAACCAGTTGGCCCTCTAGCCTTGATCTCAACATATACACACTGCTTGAGTGTGACAACATCTAGAACTTCATTGTAATTCCCAAACTTCAGCTCAAGCAAGAATATAGCGAGCTTGTCAACTAACTCAGTTAGCATGAAGCCATAAGGTATAATATCCTTGGGCTTGGAGGTGTCTGCAACCCTTGCCATATGCTGGATCATCATGCTAGGAAGATTTATGGCTCTACCAGTATCGAACTACTCCATTACAGCCATATCAAGCAAGCTGGCCTCATGCCTCCTCTCAGATCTCTGCAGAATGCAAGAGTTCACAAAATGGAACAACAGTCTGTGAAATTGTATCATGCCAGTCTTGTACACCTTTTGGAGAGCATCCAACTCAAACTTCTGGGAGAACATCCTGGTGACTACAATGCATGTGTCCACATCATTGCCAATAACAAGCCATTACGTCTACAAATAGTTGTCAAATCCCAGGAAGGGAATGTTCAATAGTAGCCCAAGCTCTTTAGCGTCACACCCCAACTCAAACTCTCTCACATAAATCTTTACTACCTTGCTATCAAACTGAAATTTGCATAAAACTCAACCACTGCAGGCACACATACATGAGAAAAGGATTTAACAAATATATGTGTCTATCCCTACAAGTCAAGCTTTTCTACCAACTGGGCCATGCCTTTTTTTTATCAGTGTTAGCAAGTATCTTCCCATTCAACACCTTTCTATTCTTGAACTCAGTCAACGTGTCAACTACCCTAGACTCAACCATTTTCTTCTATCATTTTCTTGTCTTCTGAGAGGTGGCAGTTGCTTTGATTGGTTTAGCATCAATCTTCTTCACTGGTGGTTTATTACAATTTAGGGAAGAACCAGGTTCATCCTTCTCATCCAGCTCAACTACTATTTCAGCAGCAGAAACTTGCTTTCTTGTCCGCTTGGTACTCCTAAACTCCTTGATCATTTGTTCATCAACAACATTTCTCTAGCCCCTGGTGAGAGGAGTCCTAGTGGGAGGAGCTACTTCCTTTCTTGCCTGTAAAACTTGTCTTGTAGGTTTTACATGAGCCTTTCTGTTCTTCTTCCCTACCTCAGATAATGGCAAATTATCCTTATCACTGTCAACCCCCCCTCATCTCCTACGAAAGGAGTTAAGGAGGGCCTAGGTTCTTCAGACCCTTCGTCTTCATGAACTTCCTCTAAAGGGGCCATGACTGTATTCTGAATAGTCATAGAGCCTTTAGATTCCTCACTAGTATTGTCTTCCTCACTTTCAGATGCAGTACCCTTACCTTCACTTTCTTTTGCATATTCATTACCCTCACTCTCAGAGCCTTTTACTTCCTCACTTCCCTTTTCTTTTTCTTTTGAATCTCCCACTTTCTCACCTAGTTGTTCTTCTACCTCACCTTATTTTCCTTCACCCTCATTCTCACTTTTCTTTTCTTCACAACTTTGAGTTTTCTCCTGCACCTTTTCTCCCTCTTTATTTGCTTCTCCTTCTCCCTCCCTATGAGTTTCCTCATCCTCATCATTATCAGTCCAACTGTAAGAACTACCATTAGAACTATTTTTGTCCCATGTTGCTTTCTCATTTCCCCCCTCAACCACATGTAAGTCTGCAACTATTTCTAAATTCATGTCCTGAGTTACTACTTAATTTTTTACATTAGTACTCCTACATTCAGTGTATCACTCAAGGGTTCAACAACTTCTAACGGGGAAACCTCAATTGTGAAAGCTAGAACATCAAGCTTTAATGGTGGAGGTTTTACCTGAGCATCCTTGACGAGTGCAGATTCCCCCTGAGCAGTAGCCTCCGTTACTTTTGGTTCCCCCTTAGCAGTAGCACGATCCTTTTCTTTACCACTATTTACTGATTTTCTTGAAGTGGCCTTGACCTTAGTAGGTTTGGAGGTGATTTGAAAGACGGATACAGGTGCATGGGTGGTTGGTTTTGGAGATGTAGGTGCAGTAGGGGTAGAAATTACAGGTGTAACAGTAACAGAGTGTGATGGTGCAAGGACATCAGCGGGCATAAGTGGAGAGATAGCAGGTGAAGGTTCAGAATTACCAGCCGATTTTGCAATTTTCTTTGGCTTGGACTTCTCAAATTTGGACTTTGTTCCAGTTTTTGATGATGATTTTGGTTTTGAAGGGGTTTGGCTAGACTTGGTCATGGTGAAGAGAGGATAGAGAATTTGCTTTAGTTCTTGCTTAAGGTTTGAGAGAAATAGTGAGGTTTGAGGAAGGTGCCAAGAGAGGGCTTTTAAAGAGAGTAATCCTCATTTGACTAGAAGAGAGAGAGAGAGAGAGAGAGAGAGAGAGAGAGAGAGAGAGAGAGAGAGAGAGAGAGAGAGAGATAGAGAGAGAGAGAGAGAGAGTAACTGATTTTGAGTTCTAACGGGACATTAATAGCGGTTACTTTTGACGACTGGACTCTTAGAATTAATTGGAGTCTAATTACACTAGCATTCTTCCTTGATCCTTGACTTTGATAACAAATAGGAGTGGTGCTAACATGATTAGGGAGTATGAAAGTGGCAGTAATTTTAGTTATTAAGTTCCAGTGATTTAAGACAAGATGACACGTACTTGAGTCCAAGAACTACCTCCTTTGCAACTCCTTCGTCATTTTTGCAATAAAGCTTCCAGCACAATAAGTTAATATCATAAGGCACAATCATCAGTTAGACTTTTTAGGCAAGTGTGTATACTTAGAACAAGTATGAGACTGAATGAAACATTTGATACCTCAACTATCTACATCTATTGACTTATTTTCTAGCCAATTATTATGGTTCAACCTAGTTGGAGGCATTGATTAATCCCAGTTTTAGTCTGTTTGTTTCTAAGTAGTCCCTGCTCAGTGCCTTAGTGAAAATATCAGCAATTTGATCTTCAATTTTACAGAAATTTATCTGGATATTCCCTTTATCAATATTATCTCTGAGAAAATGAAGTTTGATATCAATGTGCTTAGTTAGCTTATGTTGACAAGGATTTTTAGCAATATTGGCACTGGTATTGTCATAGAAAATAGGAACACAATCAACAAAAATACCATAATCCCTAAGCTGCTGCCTTATCCATAGCAATTGAGCACAACAAGATACTGCTACTACATATTCTGCTTCAGCTGTAGATAGAGCCACTGAGTTTTGCTTCTTTGTTCCCCAAGACACCAGACATGAACCAAGAAAATGTGTTGTTCCTGAAGTGCTTTTGCTGTCAACATGAAAACATGCATAGTCAGCATTAACATAACCAACTAAGTCATAGCTATATCCTCTTGGATACCATAGACACAAATCAGAAGTTCCTTTAAGATATCTGAGTATTCTCTTGACTGCCTTTAAGTGGGACTCCTTAGGTTTTGCCTGAAATCTTGCACATAGACCCACACTGAACACAATATCAGGCCTGCTTGCAGTGAGATACAAGAGTGATCCAATCATTACTCTGTACAACTTTTGCTCCACACTTTTCCCTTCTTCACCTGGGTCCATCTTTGTTGCAATGGCAATAGGAATATCAATTGACTTTGAAGAATCCATGTTGAATTTCTTCAAAAGTTTTTTGATGTATTTTTGCTGATGGATCATGGTTCCAGTAGGTGTCTGTTTGATCTGCAGCCCAGAAATGAAATTTAATTCAGCCATCATACTCATTTCAAACTCACTGCCCATCATTTCAGAAAATTCCTTGCACATTGCTTCATTAGTAGCCCAAAAAATAATGTCATCCACATACACCTGCATAATCAGAAGATTCTTTCCTTTGTTCTTCAGAAATAATATGTTGTCCACCTTAACCGTTACAAAGTTATAGGTTAAGAAGGATTTTGAGAGCCTCTCATACCAGGATCTTGGAGCCTGCTTCAGTATATATAATGCCTTATCCAATTTGAAAACATGGTCAGGGAACTTTTCACTTTCAAAACCAGGGGGGCTGTTTAACAAATACTTCCTCTTTTAAGTAACCATTCAGGAATGCACACTTCACATCCATATGATATAGAGTGAATTCCATGTGTGAAACAAAAGCAATTAACATTCATATAACTTCCATTCTTGCTACAGGAGCAAATGTCTCATCATAGTCAATTCCTTCTTCTTGATTGTAACCCTAAACCACCAATCTAGCCTTGTTCCGTGTAATATTTCCTTGCTCATATAGCTTGTTGATGATAATCTAGGAACTCATGTTTTAACTATATTTCGCACTCTAATAACTACACTTTGATTGTATTTGACCCTAATTGTTAGTACTTTGTACTTATTATATGTATTATGTTTTGTAGAATGTGGTTTCAAGTGAAGAATCAAGTTTGGAGCTAAAATAGATTATTTGGAGCTTTGAAGTCTGAGTAGAAGCCCAAAATATTAACTCGAGATCATGTTCTGGGATAGAGGACCAAGGCTGGATGTCAAAAAGTGAGAGAAAAAGATTAATCTGAGAAGAATGCGCTACTGCGCCGCGTGGCACAAGGTGCTAGTGCAAATTTCCTGCAGAGTGAAAACAAACTTGCTCTCTGAAATTTCACACTGGCGTGGCGCATGGGGCGACGTGAGGCACACCATGCCTGTGTAGTTTCCTTAGAGTAATTTTCCAGTTCGGCTTGGAAAGCGTAATTTCATCCGGACCCATTCCTACATGGAATAAATACACCAAAAACACGTTTTGGAAGGTATTTTTTACCATGGAAATTATTGGAGAGCATTGGAGGTCTCAAGATACAAGATTTCATCATCTTTCCATCAATTCAATATGGGATTTTGGATTGTAACGTTGGATTGGTGTTTTCTTATTCTTTAATTCTATTTGTGATGACTTCCCCCATGAGTATGGAGTAGTTTCTATTAGGGTTTGACATGATTTTGTGACTTGATTATTATCTATGGATTTGATTATTGTTTGATTGCTTGAATTTGTTGGAAGACCTTTAAATCTAGTTGTGATATTATTCATTATTGTGTTTAGTTGGAAGAGGAGAAAAATACTGAAGATTGTTCCAACGCATGCTTTAATTCATTATGGTACTTCTATAAAGTAATCGAACGAGCTTTGTGATCTACCTTTTGAATTAAGATTGAGAAATATTTGAGAGAAGTTTCTCTTTGACCATTCTTACCAATAGATTCTTTCAAGTTTCACCGCACTTCATATTAGCTTATTTGAATGATTTAGGTTTAATCGAAAGAGGAACCTGAGTCAGAATATTATGATAATAACCTATTGAATTCGAGAGAATCAATAGAACATTAATAGTAAAACTAACAGTGTTAATTCCAAGATAACAATCTTGTATTTATCATGTCATGACCCTTATTTCTCATATTGATAAGAAACTAATTTTACTAATCTTTAGTTCTTCACGATCAGTTGTTAATTGCTTTAGATTTAGTTCATAATCAATCCGACCAAAGTGATAATCATCCTGAATAGCAATAAAGCCATAAATTACTTGAATATTTTTTAAATTCAATCTCTGTGGAGACGATAATTATACTATATTATCTTAGGCTAGTGAGCATTCATTTTCGTGTTGTGTTTAGTGATCATCAAATTTTGGCGCCGTTGCCGGGGATTGAAAATCAATAGTGTTCAAAATAGTTTTGGTGTTAATTCAGGAACCAATTTTATTTTGTTTTTCTTGGTTTATCTCTTATATGTGCAAGTAACAAGTTAAGTTCTTTGGTGTATGACTCGATCTTATTCAAAGGAAGGGATACCATATGAGCCGGAGAAGACATTTGAGAAATTAGAGAGAACTCACCGAAAATTTCTTGGGGCAATCTTCAACCCAAGAACACATGGCTAAGAATGGTGATTATGGAGTTGACTTAGCTGCAAGAGAGGCAGCACAACAGAGCAAACAAGCTGCATGTATAGCAACTGAAGCAACCCTTAGAGCTGCTGATGAGACTGTCGAAGAGGATGAGGATCGAAGATTCAATCCAAATTGACCCATGATTGAAGACCAGTTCAAAAATATGGCTTCCAGTCATGGGAGAGCATTAGGTTACTATGCCAGATCAGTCTACAATTAGGGACTGTCAAGTGTCAAACCTTCACTCTTAGCAGCAAATAATTTTGAGTAGAAATAAGGCTTGCTGCAAACCATCCAGAATAACTGTGTCTTTAGAGGGTGAATGAAGATCCTAACTCTCACTTGTTGGACTTTGAGGAAATCAGGAACACTTTTCAGTACAATGGAGTGCCAAAAGATGCAGTCTACTTAAGGGCATTCCCCTTTTCATTGAAGGATGACGCGAAGTACTGGCTTCAAAGCTTACCAACTAGGCCGATCAGGACATGGGAATATATAATGAAAAGGTTTCTTGACATGTACTTCTCAGGTGCAAAGACAGTAAAACGCAGAAGGGAAATCCACAACTTCTGCCAGAGTGACACTGAAACGGTCTTTGAAGCTTGGGAAAGATTCAAGGAGATAGTGAGAAAGTGTCAGCATAATAAGATCGAATTGTGATTGCAACTCCAGGAAATTTGGGATGGACTGACACCCTCATCATGGCGAACTCTGAGTACTGCAGTTGGAGGTACTTTAATGAAGAAAACTCCTGAGGAGATTGTTGCAATTCTTGATGAGCTCTCTAAATATGCTAACCAATGGCTCGTTGAGAGTAATGATAAAAGCAAATTAGCTGGGGTTCACCAGGTAGACTCTAACATATCAATGCCAGCCTAGCTAGACAACATGGCCAAAGAGATAAGAAAGTTGACCTTAGCCAAGGTCCAGAGCCATCCATCATCAGTTTGTGACTTATGTGGTATGGGTCATCCAACGCATGGGTGTTAGGCCTCGACTATAGATGAAATGGTAAGTTCTATGGGAAGCTTTGATATTGGAAACTACCAAAGTGCTAATAACTTTTAAGTCCATGGGGAAGAGTCACCCAGGTTTTTCTTGGAGTTCACCAAGTAGTAGCCTGAACTTATGGCAATAGAATAATCCGAGACCCCATGGACAAGGAGCTCTAGGAATTCAAAATCAACAGAGGCAGTAATACCAACCTCTACAGTCTAATTAGTCTAGCATGGAAGATTTGATGAATGCCTTTATTATTAAGACAAATGAGAGGCTTGAAATTCATGGCACAGATATCCGAGAACAGGGCATAGCCATTCAAAACATAGAAAGACAGGTGGGGCAACT